TAAAACTTTAGACCGAATTGTTTTTAAATCGAAAAACTTACTGTTTGAAGTTACTTTAACGTAACAACAGATCATTTTCATAATACATCGGCCTGCGCATCCTAACAATTTTGTATTTTGTGTTTATGTTTTTGGAGTTTTTTCCCCTCACCTGTTCTGTTCCCCACAATTCTGTTTATTTTATTTTTTATGGCTAAATGTTTTCTTTTTTCTGATGCTGTTCCACTCCTGTTGCATGTAATTTATTATGTTTTTAGTCATTTTAAAGCACTTGTACACAAACACACATATGACTAATAAAAATATAATAAATCACACACAAAACAAACACACACACTCACACACAAACATACGGCCTTGGCGGAGGTTTGCGCTCTCCGTGTGCTTCTAGTTGCTTTTGTTTTTTTTATCTCTATTAACATACAGTATGTTTGTTGTCTGTTTCACTAGGTGGTGCTAAAGATGGTAAACGAGATCAAGAAAATCCCCGGCATCTCCAGAGTGATGTATGACCTGACCTCCAAACCACCCGGCACCACAGAGTGGGAATAAAACCCAACATATCAATAGGACACACTCTCAAACACAGTACCCAAACACTCTCAGCAGTTACGAGAGGGCTCTCCTTTTTCTGTCCTTCCTCCCTGACACCCCCAGTCTCCCACCTCCCCTCCCCTTTCTTATCTTCGACATTCCCATGGAAGGCAGACTGTACTGTGACGGGCGTGCTCGCAGAAGTGCCGCTGCTCCACCCACTCCTCCCCATCACCACCACTCCTACCTGGTCTTAATATTTCTGGCAATAGGGATTGATTCATGTTGATTATTGATATGATATTGTCACTTTTGATTCATGTACAACAATGTATTTCCTTGCTGTCATGTAAATTGCTGCTTCCTTTTCTTTGAGTTTCACCCCTTAAAAGGCAAGCAGTGAGAATCTGTGAGATTTAAGTGATGTTGTGCCTCAAGATGAGATATAGGAAGAGTTAAAAAAAGAAATGAAGACAAGCAAATAATAGTGTCATTTAAAAAAATGCAGTAGTACCGTAGAGGGAAGTTTGAAAATCTTTAGCATTTGCTTTCTTGTCAAGAGTTTTTATTTGTTTTCCTGTTTCAGCCTGAGAATATCCTCTATTTGTTAATTCTCTCTCTGCTTTCTATGAATGAGGTTGTCTGGACTGACAGCCTGTGTGACCAATCAGTTTTTATTTTCCTTGCCAAAAGTAGAAAATGCTGTAGTGATTTGTAACATGATGATCTGGCGATGGCCTCAGAGTTGACTCCTGTGCAGCCGCAACAAAGGCTGGTACAGTTAGTAACTTTGTACGTGCCTGTTCTGTGTGGTTTTTTTTTTCTTTTTGTTTGTCTATGGGTGTGACCAGACCAGGACAATGACGTGTCCAGGGAGGAGCTTATAACAATTTTCTCCTCATGCTGCAATAYGTGAGCTTTTTTATGAAGAAAAATATAAAGGCAAAAGTTCTAATATTGAAATTAGTGTAGAGTTTCYAACCACGTTGTGTCACTGGCTGTTTTCACTTCATGATTTTGGCTGCCCTTATGTTGTTGGGGGGGGGGGGGGGGTTAAGTCTGTCACTCATATAGCCTTTGTGCTACATCGACACAAACCCAACATCCAGTGGGAGTTTCACCAGATCAGTATCRCTCTGTAGTATCTGAGGTCAGTTCAGGGAAGGTTGCCACCTCCTGTGTATCTCACTGTGTCTCTGAAAGGCATTGCTGCTTTTTAATATGAACGTGTTGTGTTCTCTCACAACATTCAGTGCATCACAGTTTGTTCTTTTCCAATCTTCAGACTTGACATAAACCTCAGTGAATACAGTGCTCAGGTTTAACTGAGTTTTAAAAACATGTATTAGACCCTTTTTGCTTGGATGTGRTGGTTGTGATGCCTCCACTTGTTTTCTTTCTGTGCCTCTCATCTCTCTGTTGCTGCATCTTTAATTTTCAGAGGCAAAAATGCTCCCAAGGTTTAAAAAAAGATTTTCCTAACTAAACAATTGTTTGAGTTTCTCTCTATTTGGCCTTTGTTCTTCTCTGTTTTTGTTTGTCATATTTCTCCGTAGAACAGCTAACAGTGGACATGTATTTGAAATCTTRATAAGATTAAGTTATGCAAGGTTGTCTCTCTTGTTTTCCCTTTAATTTGATTTAGCGATGGTCATTATCCTTAGTAATGTGCCTCAAACCAAGCCACTGCATGCAGTTTCAACGACGACATTTGTACAACGCAAAACTGAGCTTTAATAAAGATCTCAATGTTGCAACTTTTATTGTTTGCATTTCTTTAGCATTCAAGGTWTCTTTTAAAAAGGATAAATAACTGAGTAGTTCTGTATTATTTAGGGAGATTTAGCACTGGTATGTTTAGATTTAAGCAAATATCTTACCTGTTGTAGGTAGCTCTTTGACATCACTTTAGAGAAAAAGTTTAATTCTGATTTATTTGATGAGCTAACAGCTGACACTTCAATGCCGACGTGGGTAATAACAGTGAGACCTRGTGAGGGGTGATTGGGAGAATTGGCCTCCGATCTGAACCTGAGCGGTGTTCTGTTGGACTTCTGTGYTAGTCACAGTTTGTCCATCTTAAACACCATGTTCGAACATAAGGGTGTCCATAAGTGAGGCCGCAGATCAATGATTGACTTTGTAGTCAAATCATCTGATCTGCGGCTGTCTGTTTTAGACACTTGGGTGAAGAGAGGAGCTGAGCTGTCAACTGATCACCACCTGGTAGTGAGTTGGATCAGATGGCGGGGTAAGCTGCTGGACAGACCCGGCAGACCCAAGTGTGTAGTGAGGGTTTGCTGGGAACGCCTGGCAGAGGAACCTGTCAGACAGATCTTCAACTCACACCTCCGGCAGAACTTCAACCACATCCCAGCCGATGCGGGGGACATTGAGTCCGAGTGGGCCATGTTCCGCGCCTCAATTGTTGAAGCGGCTGCCTTGAGCTGTGGCTGGAAGATTTTTGGTGCTTCTCGCAGCGGCCATCCTCAAACTCTGTGGTGGACACACCAGGTAAGGGAGTCTTTCAAGCTGAAGAAGGAGTACTATCTGGCCCTGTTGGCTGGTAGGACTCTGGAGGCAGCTGAGGAGTATCAGCAGGMCAAGTGGGCTGCAGCCCTGGCCGTTGCTGAGGCAAAAGCTCTGATGTGGGTGGAGTTTGGTGAGGCCTTGGACAAAGACTCTCGATTGGCTCAGGAGATTCTGGCAAATCATCTGGCGGCTGAGGCAGGGGAAGCAGCACTTCACCAACACTGCTCAGTTAAGGTGGGGTGCTGTTGACTTCAACCASTGATGTCGTCGGGAGGTGGAAGGAATACTTCTCGRACCTTCTCAACCCCACCAACAMGTCTTCYATGAGGACTTTGGGGCTGGTCTGTCCATAACTGGAGTCGAGGTCGCTGAGGTAGATGAAAAGCGCCATGGCCCGTTGTTATGGTCCATTCAGTCTTTATACAAGCGGTGCRAGAGTTTGGTTCGCATTGCTGGTAGTATGTCAGAYCCCTTCAGATCGGAAGTTGGACTCTGACAGGGCTGCCCGTTGTTACAGATTMTKTTCATAACTTACATGGACAGAATTTCTTGGTGCAGCCAGGGGGTGGTGGGAGTCTGGTTCGGTAGCCTCAGGATTTCATCTCTGCTGTTTGCAGATGATGAGGTTCTGTTGAAGTATCTTGGAGTCTTGTTCACAAGTGAGGGAAGAATAGATYGTGAGATTGATAGATGGACTGGAGCAGCTTCTGCAGTTTTGCAGACTGTACCGGTCTGTTATGGTGAAGAGGGAGCTGAGCAGTAAGGAAAATCTCTGTTTACCGATCAGTCTACGTTCCTACCCTCACCTATGGTCACGAACTTTGGGTACTGACAGAAAGAACAAGATCGTGGATACAAGCGGTCAAAATGAGTTTTCTCTGCAGGGTAGCTGAACTCTCCCTTAGTGATAGRGTGAAAAGTTCAGTTATCCAGGAGAGACTCAGAGTAGAGCCGCCGCTGCTCTTCCACGTTGAGAAGAGCCAGTTGAGGTGGTTTGGGCATCTAGTAAGGATGCCTCCTGGACGCMTCCCTAGGGAGGTGCTTCAGGCATGTCCAACTGGGAGGAGACACAGAGGAAGACCCAGGACATGCTGGAGAGGCTATGTCTCTCGGCTGGCCTAGGGCCTTAGAGTCCTCCCAGGAGAGCTTGAAGAGGTGGCTGGGGAAAGAGAGGTCTGGGCCTCCCTGCTGAAGCTGCTTTGCCCATGATCCAACTTCAGATAAAGTGATTTATTTTGTGGTTTACAAAAGTTTCCAGTTTAATGTATGCATTTAAAGCAGAATCAGCGTTTACAGTAACTCCACCCCCTCACAAATAATAATAATAATAATAAAGTTATCTACCGGCGATGTATCCACATGTAGTCTAATTCATATGGGTTTCATATCAGATTGGTTTGTTTTGAYGAAAACCTTTTCTGCATTAATTGGTGCCAACTATTGACGCTGCAACCAGTGGCGGATAAACCAAAGTAAATTTTGCACAAAAATAAGGAAATGTGAGTTTGGTAAATTATTTCTTTGTTGTAACAATGCTTCTAGCAATAAATCTGACACTGTTGGAAAGTCTGTTCATTTCCCTTTTAAATGGTTCCACATTTGTAAGGAGCAAGCATTTGTGGGATGAGCATAGAGCTGAGTATGTGGGTTGCACACATGAAAGTCTGCTAATCTTAGCCAAACAGCTTATTTAACTTGCTATTGACACTTGTTTTGAGTTTCTGGTACCCAGGTGCTGCAAATCAGGTGCTCTGTAYAAGATTTATTGCCATGAAACATTTTTTTTTCAAATAAAGATACTTGTTTATATTAACCTCAAATTTCAGTTTTCAAACTTAATGTTATAATAATGGCACTCAAGTTCAGTAAATCCCCATGTTGTTGACAGATATTAACAGTGTAATACAGGCCTGCAGGGGGTACCTGAGCATGCAGGGGGTTCAGGTGTGTTCTAGTCCCCTCAGACTGGGAGACAAGCTCAAACAGGTTTCACACTCAGGGGACCGGGCAGCACTACTGGAACTGTTGCTGAACTCTAACATTGCATTAAGACTACAAGTTACCACATGCAGCRGATAATTAACTCGTGGCCTGCGGCGGTTCTCTCCAGCTTCGAGTATTGAAGTGTATTTACAAGAAGAACGGAGAGGAAGACATGATAATGTGCTCAAATGTTTCTTGGAACAGAGCAGAAGTTTTTGTGTTTTGGGCCACATCTTTTATGATGGATGTCTTTTTAGTTCTTGTTAAAATCACACTTTGTTTAAACAAAGATTGTGCCATCAGTCGTAGATTGTAACTCATCCTGCACCTGTTTGCTTCTGTTCTATTAAATCTGTTACCTTTGCTCCTCTCCCCTGAGGCCTTATGAGACACCTGTCACACATCTCTGCCTGCTCCTCTGTCTGCTGCAGACACACAGCGCTCTCCCAGGTCCTTTCAACCTCCACGAATTATAGAAATGAGAGGCTTTTTGCTTGGACTGTGGTGCTTTTTCTGCGTTTACCAATCTCTCTCGGGAGAGACCACCTGCAAGCTGAAGGCCAAGTTCAACCTGAGCGGCTACAAGAATGTAGAGAAGAAGAAGGTGGTCATTGGGGGGATGTTTCCTGTCCACAAGCGCGTTGCTTCCAGTAATGGCAACACTTCCAGTCAGCAGGTCTCCTCTGGGTGCGAGGGGTGAGTGGAATCATTTTCTGCTTCGGACTCTTTGGGACTCATATTTAGGTTAGTGTGGGTTCTAAGGGTTTTCAMACTAAGTGACTGAACATCTTTTCTTGTTTATTGAAGGTTTTGCTTCTCATCCTGATCTCATGAAAAGTGTGGAGTTTTAAGCTTTAACACCAAAGATTACTAACAAAATTTGCTTGGGGATACAATTTGTCTGTGTAGACTCTGCAAGGGCCAGTTTTAAAGTAGAAAACAATAGAAAATAATAACAAAAGCTTTTTTCTAAGCCTCACAAATATCAGTCTGATGTTAAGAGGTTAGTGCAAGTATTTCAGCTCTCGAGGTTCATTTACAGCATTTGTTGTTATAGCTGTCAAAATATGCGATTGTTTAAAGTTTTTCATTTTAATTTTTATATACTGGTATCATGTATGATAGCAATTAYATCTTAATATGCATAATTTACTACCAAAAGTCTACTGCTTAATTTGCAATAAATGAGTTGTCAGCAGAGTTGTGTTTTGTTTCCAACTTCTGAATCGTTCGTTTACATTTGAACATTTATACTTTTAAAAGCTACATTCCATTTTACTGTAATGTCTGTCAGATTTATTTATATCCGTTTTTGTCATCACACAGTAGGCATCTGCCGTGCTCTTCTGAATGTTACGAAAACAATATTTTGTATTTTAATTTTTATATAAAAGTTTTCATTATTATTTTGCCTCTGAGCAGTAATGTTTAACGAGAAAGATACTTTTTTTTCTTATAAGTTGATTTAGAAGTGTTTCATGATTTAAAGAAAGGTCACGTGACACCATAATGGTGTTTGGGGAGGTGGAGCTTAAAGCCACACATCCCTAGCGCTCAGACTCTGGTTCCAAAAACACAGCAACCAGGGGTCGCATTTATAAAGCTTGCTTATGCATAAAACAGGGCCAGAAATATACGTATGCCACTTCACGCAAAGTTTCTGGTTTATAAAACTTAAACTTGCCATGAAAATGTGCGGTCCCTCACACCAGCTCTTACCCATGCGTTCATTTTGGAGATGAGAAGCTGGGGGTGGGGGTGGGCTGTCAGCTGCAGAACAGTGTAGGTTGCAGTGTAAACGGGGCAGAAGGGTGGTGTACTTATTTTTAGTGGCAAAACAGTCGGGGCAATGGTTGGGTTGTTTAATTTTATTTATTGTTTTTAATGCCCACAGGCTCTGGGAGAAACTACATTTGATGCTGAGTTTTTGAAAAAATCCATGAGATTGCTCTAAACATCTGTATAACTGTGAAATGAGGGAAAATCTTGGTAAATTACAATTTGTTCTTGAGAGCAGTTGTCAGCACCAGTCCTCCTCCAGACTCAATGACAGTGCACGTGCCTAGGCCTGTCGCGACAGTCAATAAATCAATTAATTGCACGATAATTTTTTTTGAGGTCGGTAAAAAAATGAGGACGATAAGTTTAATTTTCCTGCTTGTTTGTTTACTTCGTCTCTCTCTCTCTCTCTGTGCTCCGCTACACAGGAGCTCAGCTGACTCCTCCCCTCCTATTTTCTAAGTGTCGGGAGGAGTGAACTCTTGCTTTAGCATGAGAGCTCGTAGCAATAACAAACTAAAGAATAGGCCTGTCGCGATAGTCAATAAATCAATTAATTGCATATATTAAATTGCACATATAATTATTAGTTGTAAAATGCTCACCAGGCAATATTATCGCTYATCACAATAATTTGTGAGACAATTAATTGCCCAGCAAAATTTGTTTTCGTGACAGGCCTACGCGTGCCTGAGCCGGCCAATCGCTTTAGTTGACATTGATCAGCTGACTGATTTCAATACACCTCAACATTCATGAGGTACTTTGCATTGAGCGTTTATGGTTGAATGTGGGCGTGTAGAGGGCAGAACATGAGGCGGGATCTTATGTACAAACTCTGAGGTGCAGTTGTGATCTATAAAGAAAAATTGCTTGAAGATGTGTGTACACGTGATTTCATAAAAATGATTTTTTTGGGCATACGCCATTTTTGTCTTKTGGCTGTACATTCACTTTTAATATGAATTCTACGCAATCCTTTATAAATGAGACCCCAGGTCCTGCTGGCTTTAGGGATGGAGACAGATGGTCTTCATCTGCCAACTCTGTAATCTGATTGGACATCCCAGGTGCCACTGCTGCATGTTACTCTACGCGATTAGAAGACAGAAAAGATTGTTTGATTAAACACAAGTACACATTTTACCTCATCATCAACAGTTGACTCATAATTATTGGTTTAGGTGTTCTTTTTGTCAAGACACAAATGTAATATTTCATGTAAATTTTTGTTAAATCTCCAGTTTAACGTATTTGTGTTAAACTTGTTTAATAGCAGATCATTACACAGAAAAGAAACAAACCTTTTAGAGATGCACCGTTTCTTCATCGCGTCTCCCGATCCTCCAGATTTAATTTCCGCACCTTCCGCTGGACGCAGACCATGCTGTTTGCCATCAATGAAATCAACAAGAGGAGCGACCTGCTGCCCCAAACTGACCTGGGCTACGTCATCTACGACTCGTGCTTCACAATCTCAAAGGCCGTGGAAGGAACGCTGACCTACCTGACGGGCCAGGACGAAGCAGTTCCCAACTACCGCTGTGGAGACGGGCCGCCTCTTGCTGCCTTAGTGGGTGCTGGAGGTTCTGATCTGTCCATTGCAACAGCCAGGATCCTGGGGCTTTATCATTTCCCACAGGTCAGCGACTAAATGTCTGCCAGAAATGTAGATAAGACAAATAAACCGACCGAGATAACCAGTTCTATCTTCTTTCTATAGGTCAGCTATAGTTCAACATGTTCTGCCCTGAATAATAAGTTCCAGTTCCCCACTTTCCTAAGGACCATTCCTAATGATGTCCACCAGTCTACAGCCATGGCTCAGCTGGTGCTGCACTTTGGCTGGACCTGGGTGGGAACCATAGCTGCAAATGACGATTATGGCAAATATGGCATCAAAGACTTCAAGGCACAGGTGGAGGAAGCTGGTGTCTGCATCTCTTTCTCTGCGACCCTGCCCAAAGTAAGAAGAACTTTGTACAAATACTTCATGATTGCTTTGATCAGTGTAGTGTCATGAATTAATACCCTATCTCTATGTGTGAACTGTAGGTGAGCTCCCCAGATACCATCAAGAGTATCGTTAAAACTGTAGCTGATTCCACAGCCAAGATCATCGTCGTCTTCTCATCAGACGTGGACCTGAGTCCTCTCATCACCGAGCTGCTCTTACATAATGTAACCAACCGCACCTGGATTGCCAGCGAGGCCTGGGTCACCTCAGCGCTCATCAACCAGCCAGGGGTGTGTACTTTGTCAGCTGCTCGTTGATCTGACTGGGACGTTTCAAGACGTTTAACTGTAATCAGTTGTTTCATGATTTAAAGAAAGATTTCAAGATTAAAAAAAAAAACATTTTGCACCATTATTGTGTGTAAGAGAGTAGGCGGGACTTAAAGCTCCATGTGGCAAATCTGCAGTAGGTACAACACGGTACCCCGATTAAAACGGGTTCTCATGGCTTTAATTTTGAACTAGAATGGAAAGAAAGACATTTAATTGATTTTTCATATTGTCAGTGATCAGAGCTGTCCCTTTATGCTGATGAGGTGATGATGGTATTTATTTTTTTATCAAGGTGAACTCAATCCTGTCTGGTACGCTGGGTTTTGGGGTGAAGAAGGCTGACATCCCTGGTCTTCAGCACCACTTACTTGGCTTGGATCCCTATGATGATGCACTTACTGAGGAGTTCTGGGGGACGGTGCGTTTAAGACACCTGATATTACTAGTTTTGGAGTAAATCATCTGCATAAAATAATCTACATTAGACCAAAAGGCAGTTGCTCCAACTAAAATTGCAAATGTTGCATTCAGACAACTACATACACAGAGATGCAAAATGTGTGATCTTAATTTCGTCTTGCAGTTGTTTAACTGCACACTGGACTATAAAAAAGCTCTGAGGATGGCCAGAGCGGTGAATGGCACACCGTCCAGAGCGGCGAGGGGGATACCAGATGGCCTATGTACTGGCAAAGAGTCTGTGGCTCAGCTCAATAACACGTACTCTGATGTCTCGCAGCTACGAATCACTTACAGGTCAGTCGCTACAACTCAGCCAAACATTCAGGAAATCCAAAATGTAGCCCCTTCATCTTCATTACAGCAGCAATTTAACTGTTGTTTAACCTTTATTGTGTTTTATGCAATATATTCTGTATATACTGGTATAAAATTGATGCGTTTCTCAGTGTTTACAAAGCAGTGTACGCTGTGGCCCACGCCCTGCACAACCTGGAGCACTGCGTACCTGGAAAAGGTCCCTTTGTTGGGAACAGCTGTGCTAACATCAGTAATTTTGAGCCATGGCAGGTAGGCATGCACACATTTTAACAAATCTCTTCACGTGTTTGTGGAACTCCTGAGTCGCCATACGGCTGTTTTCCCCAGTTGATGTATTACGTGAAGAATGTGAATTACAAAATGCCGAACACAGCGGAGGAGATCTTCTTCACAGACGGAGACATAGAGGGCTTCTACGACATCATTAACTGGCAGGTCAACAGTGATGGGGAGATATCCTATGTCACTGTGGGACACTACAATGGCTCTGCAGCTGCAGAGGACAAACTGCACATAAGGAACGCCTCCATTATTTGGAACAATGACAATTTGGAGGTAAGCTGCAAACTGATCAGGACACACAGTTAAACATATGTTATGTYGTGACACTTGTCTAATCTGTGTTTCTAAGCCTCCTCGGTCGGTGTGCAGTGAGAACTGTCAGCCTGGCACCAGGAAGGGGATCCGGCAGGGGGAGCCAGTCTGCTGTTTTGACTGCATCCCGTGTGCTGATGGAGAAATCAGCAACACAACCAGTCTGTATAGAAGTTTCATAATGTTTCCTTCAGACGTCAGATTTATTTATTTTTAATTTTTTTGAGTTTGTACTCAGGAAATAAGGCTGCTCGTAAAAAAATCCTTTGACACATATTTAAGATTTGATCTTTAAATGTTCACTATTTGAACCCAAACACTGAAAACAAAAGCTTATAGAAATAGAAAATATATTGTTATCATGTGGTGGGAATTGAGGCTTGTCCTGAACACATTCTGAACATTTCATGTCTTAATTTCTCAACATTTTGGTCTAAAACTATGGCATGAAAGGCGGCAGGTGATGCTAGGATTCTTACTTTTTCGTCTTTATTGATTTATTTTTTTACGTCTTACAAACGTTAAATCTTGTCATATTTTTAAGTAAAACATTTTCTGTAGACGTTTTGTGTCTAAAATCATCAATCATCAATTTCAAACAGTGAGAACACAACAACACTAGAAAACATTTGCAAAAATAGGAAAATGCATGGTAGTCAGTGTCTCCAGTGTCATTAAACCTGAGAATACTCATGAGAAAAGAGGGACACCACCCCCCTATCCCTGCCTTTTTAAAGTTCCTGTCTCTGTTTTTGGCAGATGCCCGTGAATGTATCCTGTGCACTGGAGATGACTGGTCAAATAGCGCTCATGATGCCTGCGTGCCAAAGATCATAGAGTTCCTGGCTTTTGGAGAACCACTGGGAATCACTCTGATTGYCATCTCTGCCTTTGGAGCTTTAGTAGCCATTGCTGTCGGGGTGAGAAATGTGCAACAACAAAYTGACTCCTCTTTTAGGTTTTAAGGAGCTGAAGCGTCAGAGATGCTTTCTTTTACTTTTCCAGGTTGTCTTTGTCATGCACATCGGCACGCCTCTGGTCAAAGCCAATGACGTCCTGCTGAGCTTCTCGCTGCTCCTCTCCCTGGTTGTGACCTTCCTCTGCTCCATCGTCTTCCTCGGAGAGCCGCAGCACTGGAGCTGCATGACCAGCCAAGTCGCTTTAGCTCTTGGCTTCGCTCTCTGCCTCTCCTCCATCATGGGTTAGTCCACGATAAAAAATTACTTATTGGAACATTACTGAAGAAGTCCAGATGAAGAAGCTGCTGGTGATGTATTACAAGTTGTGGGAGTAAGAAGATTTTGTTTGCAAAAGGTTTAATCATTTTTACACAGTTCAAATGTGCGACATCAACTTTAGAACAGTTTGTAGAAAACTCTGTAAAAGGCATTAAACTGTCATGTAGGATACAGTTGGGTAAAATCTATAAATGATTTTAGAGTGGCTCTTCATACGTTTAAAATACTACTTGTCGTTTGTTTAAACTTTAAATGTTTTTGTGAAGTTTTTCAGAGCTACTGCGCCCCACTGAGAGCTGAGATTTCTGATATGTTTTGCCAATTTCCCGACAGTTTTTCCTTTTTTAAAAAAATGTGTAACACACCGTTASTAAAGGTCATAACCCAATAAGTCTAACCCAGCCTCCTGTTTTGTTGCATAATTTACGTGTTTTATAAAGCTGCACAATAATATACAGGGAAACATTTTTCAACAAGATAGTTGGCTGCTAATAAACATAGCAGCAGGCCAAGCTGAAGGATCAGAGCTACGATAACCTTTTCCCTCTGCTTTAGGTAAGGCAGCAGTGTTGATGCTCAGAGCTCAAGCCTTGAAAAGAGCCAGAAACAGAGCCAAGGCAGCTGCCAAAGCTGCTAAAGCTGCTGCCGAAGCGGCGGCTAACAGCGGCAGTCCTGACGTGATCGTAACCAGCTCCAGTAACTACGAGGCCAGCGCTGCGGACAAACCTGAGGTGGATGTCCTCACCTGTGGCCATCAGCGGGCCATCGCTGCTGTGGCCACGTTAATACAGGTAAGTACAAAACATTACAGCTCAGTGACCACCTGATAAAACTGAATGTTTCTAACTGGATGCTTTTTTTTTTCTTCAGGCCGTAGCGTGCACAGTGTGGCTCATCCTCCTCCCTCCACACCCAGTTAAGAACACCGCCGCCCAGAACGTCAAGATTATTCTGGAGTGTGATGAGGGCTCTGTGATCTTCATCTGCTGCATCTTTGGGTATGACATCTTTCTTGCTCTGCTGGCCTTCATCTTCGCCTTCATCGCCCGCAAACTTGAAGACAACTTCAGGTAAATTAAGGAAAAGTTCAGCCTCGTCTTTTCTCCCTTCACGTGAAAACATTTCCCCCGGTGAACGTGTTCCACTTTGTCCTCCAGCGAGGCGAAAGGGATGACCTTCGGCATGCTGGTCTTCTTCATCGTGTGGATCTCCTTCGTCCCGGCCTACCTCAGCACGCGTGGCAAGTTCATGGTCGCCGTGCAGATTTTTGCCATTCTGGCTTCCAGCTTCGGCCTGCTCGCCTGCATCTTCCTCCCCAAGTGCTACGTTATTCTGGTCAAACCGGATCGCAACAAAGAGGAGCTGATGAAGCCCCGCCCCAAACCCCGGGACGGCTCCATGGGCACCTCGGCCTCTCTTGCGACGGCCGCCACTGAGGTCAACACGTCGTTTGCAACCACTGATATTGATGAAAAATGATTTAAACAATTAAAACAATCATGCACTATTACTTCTGTTATCATTCTTACTATTATTTGAACAACATTATTTAAAGAAAAAGTCAAGGTTGTATGTAAAAAGCAGGATCATTTAAACATATTTTAAAGAAAGTTTATATTTTTTCTTCGCTTTAATGAAATGTCTGTAAATCCCCCCAAACAAACAAGTTTAAGTGTAGTCTGTTTAAAATTAAACCAATATTTAACTCAGACATGTTGCTACTGTCGTTTTTAACCCAGTCTTTATAACATTAATTTGACTTGTGTTACATTGAAAACATTTAGTTCAATCACTTGTAAATGTTTTACAATTTAGTGAGGCTTTGTTAGTAAAATCTACTTTTTAACAATATAACTAATGATTTTTAATCCACGTATTGTGTGTTTTCATTTTGAAGCAATTTTATTCTTCCTTTTTCTAACTAGTAGAGATTTGTGATATTCTTTGATAAGATGTTTTTGTTCCTGCTGATGCTGTAATTATGTTGGAATAAAGACGGATCAAATCAGTGTARGGAAGGTGGATGTCTTTGACGTGTTTAAGCTCAGAATTTAGGTTTGATGGTTTTCATCTTTCTAAAAGTTGATGATCGTTCTGCTTGGACTTTGAAGCAGCATGAGAGYCGCTCAGCATCGTTAAAAGAAGCGATGTCTTTTTGCATCTGTTTGCAGAATGTATAGACGACTACCGTGCTGTCTCAAACAAATGTTAGAATTAACAAAAKAACTGCGATTCAACTGCCTTTTCATTTCACCTCCAACTCTGAATCTTATTTTTCCACCATGCGATGAGATGCTCATCCAATAAGTGAACATTATACAGACACCTGGGGGCTGCAGTGTTGACTGACAGAGCTTTGTTCAGATTGTAGGTCAAAATTTAAAGTCCTTCACAGCTGATTCAATTCTGTACTAAATAATCATGTTCATTAATGGAAGAAGTCTGTTCCTGTTTCTTCTGTCCAGCAGAGGGAGGCAGAAGAAGTTGCAGTGTTTGCATTATTCCCTGATGCAGGACTTTGAAAAGCATGTTGAAAGAAATGTTGGACATGATAAAATAAAATAAAAAAGTCAAACACTCTGCAGAATGATGAATGGTTGAGAAAAAAACAAAGCTCATAAAAACTTTATGTTCAAACGTAATTCTGAAATCCAACTGAATCAAAAACTTGACAAAATGTTCTMTAAAGTTTAAAATCAATGTTAGTGCTTTAGATGTAGAATGGAGAGATTTTT